TTCTCTAGCAATGATGATGACTCTGAGAATCTGAGTTAGTATTAGAGAAAATAGCATAGATTAGTGAGAGAAAACTACAGTTTCCATTTTAGCAGAGGCTTGTTCTCGAACATTCAGTAAGATGATATTGAGTGACCCCATCCATTTAGTCAACTTAGTTTGTCCAGTAGAAATGCAGACTGTAAGCCGTCTGTCACTGAGTAGGTTTGCCTGTGGAATTGAAGTGTAGCCTTCATGGTGACTGCTCTAGTGTTGTTTAATTATAAGGACCACACTGTTCATCACATGACTTCCACTCTTAACTACAGATGAGTAATTGGAGCCAATTAGACTGATAAAGTCACCTGAACGATGCCAGCTATGAATGAATTGTAAACATTGATGACAAACATTTGTCTTGAGAAGTTGAATTGAGGAGTAAAGGAGCTATTGTCATACAGTGAAGAGTACCACTCAATTGGAGGCCAGTACCAGTATTTAGCCATGAGGAAATTAGCAAAGAAACCTCACAAACAGTTCCCTGGAGCATGCTGATTTAAAGAGAGAAAGAAAGAAAGAGAGAAAGAGAGAAAGAAGGAAGGAAAGAGGGAAGGAAGGAAGGAAGGAAGGAAGGAAGGAAGGAAGGAAGGGAAGGAAGGAAGAAAAAAAGAAAGAAGAAAAGAAAGAAGGAAAGGAAAGCAAGCAAGCAAGTAACAGTCCTAATTGGACCATTTCTTCAGATATCAATTACATGGATTTTGGTTCATTTTCTAGTCACCAAAAGATCAAGCTTTCTGTCCTAGGATTTGCATTACTTAATGTCTATTCTTCCAAAAGTTATGTTCCTGAATAGCATGGCAATCTGTAGTTGTATAGTTACTTTTGGCAGGGCTAAATTTTTACATTGAGGACTTTATTTATAGGAATAGTTGTGGAACATGACACTGTATTTATTTGTGGTATTGGAGGTCACTGGTATTTTTGAGCATTCCTCTTCAGATCACCTCAGGAGAAATTTCTATTAATATTTGACACTTCACAATGTTTCTATGCACATTATTTTACTCTGTTGTTGATTATATTGCCCTGACCTTTTCTTTGGAGATAGGGGAGTTTAAGGTCAATTTGGGGAGAGGATTTATTTTAACAATATGTCCAATACTAGTGGAATATTTAACAGTTACAGTAATTACTCTCATCTTGTAAATCGTTCATCTCTTTCCTTAACTCATCTAAAACATATATTTGTTAATTTAATTGAAAATGTTTATATATAAAATTTCAGATCAATAGGTGAATAAGTTAAATAAGTAAATAAAGTAGTGGATTTAATGGAGAATAAATACAAAATAAAATAGACACATCCTTTTCAAAGATCAGTTCGATAATGGAATGTCTCAGTCTCTTATTACAGACATGTCTAAAGCACAAATCTTTATTCGTAATCAATATTGTCAATTTTTGCTGGCTAAGTCAAAGAGGCTGATATATGACTACCTTTTAGGAAGGACAGCTAAATTGTACTAAACATATTAGAAGATTAATGATAAAAAAATCAGAGTTTTTCCCTATGAGAATGAGTGAGGAAATATAAACATTGCAAGGATGTTTTGCTTATTTTCCTGGTTCTGAGATGCTAGGTCTGTTGAGAAGCCTGAGCATTAGTGAACCACGGCTGGTGCTGTTCTATTGTATGTGATGATCACAGTCAGGAGCAGCTGAAACATCGCAGGCACTTAATCTCTCCCAAATGTAAAAAGGTTTAAAGAGAATGACGTATAACTCTTTGGTTTTTTTAAATATAAAAAAATCACTTAGCAATTATTATGTGATGTACATTAATAAAATAAAATCCCTCGACTTGTTTTTAAGATGTGTGGAGGACATTCAGCTTTATGTATCATAACTCTTTTGGGAGCAATTTCTTCTGAGGAAATATGAATGAGTCAGGGTAAATAATCTTCACATTTTTGTAACAATAATGAGGAAACACTTATCTCATCATATAATTGCTTACATATTAAAAATAAAACAAATAGTTTAAATATTTTTCTTTGAACAAGGTTTGGTTCCAGAAAAGAGGCTTTTTCAATTGAATATCACATCATATCAAATATAACTCACTATGGACAGGCACTAATTCAATGACAACTTGGTTTATTTTTTTATACTGTAATGTCACCTTCACTGTGGAATGCAATTGACCCAATCAATTAAAAATTGTAAGGGTAGAAGAGGATAAAAATATGAGGACTGCAACTCAGAGAGGTTTAAAGGCTATCCAAAGGCTGATCTTTAACTAAGATCAAACTCACAACTAAACTTTGTTTCTTCAGATTCTGTATGCCAGAATTTCAGTGTAATACACATGTTTGGTATACATTGATTATTATACTTTAATAGGTAATCTAAGTGTTATCTCCTTGTAATAGCATTTATCCTTTTGAGACGTTAAACTTGGGGTTGCCTAATTTTTTCATAAATAAAATAAAGTCAATGATAATTTAAACTATGACCGTGTGGTAGCTCATTGTGTGTGGGGAGGGAACAGTAAAGGTCTTTGAAAATCAGCATGTACGTAATTTACACAGGCTAATGCATACTCCACTTCTTTTCTATTGTTTTGCTTTGTCCAATCTCTATTTACAATAGCAGGGGTGCACTTTTGAATCTTTTGGGTGCTTTAGGGCATAGAGAAGCCAAAAGGGTCAGAGAAGAGGTTAATCTGTCAGAGTAAAAAGACAATTGGTGATATAACAAATGAATCTCTAATCATTTAGAATTATATTAATCTTACAGAAGTAAAAAGTTCATAACAAATAGAAGTTACTATCAATCTGCTCTTGGATATGGAAAGGTAATGAAGTAGTAATGACCTCATTCAAAATCAAACAGGAACCTACATAAATAGACTTAACCCATGAATTTGCTTCATAGGTTCTCATTCCAATTCCACATTTTTAATCAACAATCCTGGCTTTATCTAGTAAACTCTGATAACAGTTCAGGCAAGGGCCTGCATAGCAAAACATTTTATATATTCCATTTATTTTTCCAAGAAATTTAATTTCCTGAGCAACTCTATAGCCTAAAATGTTTAATAACTAATATGTAATCATTCTTTGTTTGGACTTATCCATTTTAGAGAAAATTTTATTATGCATAGAAAACAGTAAATATCAGCAAATTATCAGAATACCCGGATGGGGAAATTCACATGGAAAAGAGTCCTCTTAGTAGGACTCACATGAGATTATGAGCTCTCATTTACAACAACAAGCGCACAATGGCAGCCAAGGGCTCCTTTCTGTGTTACTCCCATGATATTACAAGGCATTTTCTAATTGGTGAAAGTCTAGTAAGGATAAGTTTAAAAAATAGTACCTGTGATGATTTCTCTTCTGGAATTCACAGGCCTCTACCAAATCTCCCTCTAATTCCAGTTTTCTTTACCAATAAAATAGCTGTTATTCCTTCAGGCCTACCCTCAAGATTTAGTCTAAGATTCTTCACTTAGGCCAAGTGGTTCAATATCTCATATGTGATGTCTATATGGAATTTTAAAATCTTGCAATATTGCTTAATCTAAACCAAAGATTTAAAGGTAACTCTACTCCACAGAATTTTGAGCAGAAAACTGAATAAGAAACACATTCTTTTTCATTCTATTGTTTTCATTTTGTTGATTTGAAACAAATCTCACTAAGCAGCCCAGGCAGGCCTTGAATTCTCAACCCCCTTGCCTCCTAGATTCTTAACGGAGAGGAAAAGCAATTTCATCGTTAGTGTTATATTTCATACTTGGATTTACTACTTATGAGTGTCCCAATAAGAATATGCATGTTCTATGAGCTGTTTGGTATTAAATTCTTCAAAATGAGTTTCTCTTTTCACTATTTCCCAAGGAGACTTCTGCCATTATGTACTCAGCCTGATTTTAGGAGCACTATTCCTTCGCATCACCAAAAGCTCTCATATGTACAATTTAGACGTCCTAAGTACTCAACTGGCATATTAAGTTAAAGGTCATCCCTCCAACAAACAAGTGTGTATAGGAGACTTTGCCAGATTCTGATTTCTTAAATTTAATATATGTATCCCAAATATATATTGTTTGTAATTCCTAACATAGGCAAGAATGCATAAAGATAGACTGACGCACAGTTGTGGAAAGCAGATACCCAATGGGCTTAAGGAGTAATCAGAATTGTGATTACAACTCAGTTCTTGCCAGCATTGTGCAGATTGATTGGGGTTTGATTTTCAATCTCAGTTTGAGATAGAAATATGACTTTTCAGAGTTGGTATCTTTTAGAATTAAGTAGATAGACTTGTGTGTATTTAGTGTAGCTGCTACATCTTGTAATGCAAAGAGAAGTTTTAAAATGTCCTTGTTCTATATAATTGTACAATTATATATAATTGCACCTCTTATTAATAGTTTTGCCTATATTTTAAAAGCATTCAATATTTACCTTGCAACTAAGTTTCATTTAGGTATTTAGATTAATAAATTAATAAGCATCTTAATGCTCACACATTAAAATATCATGTCATATGACTATATAGTTAGATACTCCCTTGTATCTGTAGGTATTGTTTCCAAAGATTCAACTATGGATGTAAACTTTTAAAAGTGTCAGAACATACTAGCCCTTTTCTCATTATTTTCCAGACAATAAGGTATAATAGAAATTCAGAAGGCATTTACTTTTCATTAGGTAGCTTAAGATTCTATAGATGACTTAAAGAATAAGGAAGATATAAATAGGTTATAAGTAAAAAACAGTCCCATTTTATAGAAAGGTCTTAGGGCATCATTACATTACAGTATTAGGTGACCTAGGACAAATATCCATGTGGATTCAGAGGGCTGACTCAATAATTTGTATTTTCTTTGAATAATTCAATACAAGGATTCATGTTTATGAAACAAACATGACAGCTGGGCTTTAGGGAAGGATTGTAGACAGCATTATGTGTTTTCATGTATTTAACTTAGACCTCTCTTTTCATTTCAGAACTTTTGGAACTCAACAGGACATCAATATTTCAAAGCACCTTTGGATTTCTTGATCTCCATACAATGCTTCTGGATGAGTATCAAGAACGGCTCTTCGTCGGAGGCAGAGACCTTGTCTATTCCCTGAACTTGGAACGAGTCAGTGATGGCTACAGAGAGGTATTGAAACACCAAGTGTTTAAAGCAGGGGGAGGGGGTGGTATAGGCGGGTGTTAGCTTACATTTTCCCCATCCTGTCTACCACTTTCAAGTTTCAAATGGTTATGTAATTAAAATAAAATATACACTAAATAGGAAACAAGTTGGGGAAAATTGATAAGGCATCATATATGAATTTTCTAGCCCACCAATGAGAATAAAATGTACAGAGAGGCACTGTCCTTGTGATTTGATCTTCTTGCATAGTGAGTGACTTTTCCACCACACCCACTATCTTGAGACCTGTGTTGCAGAATTCTAGATTAATAATAGTACCTCTAGACTGTATTGTTCTAATGTCTAAATATGAACCCACGATATCAGTATAACTATCTGTTGTAGTTGTTGGCAAGATTGTTAACTCAGATGGATGTGTTTTAAGTTTGCTGTTAAAGTTTAGATTGTTTTTTAAGTAAGTAGAATATTAGGTGGTGGCATACGCCTTTAATCCCAGCACTAAGGAGGCAGAGGCAGAGAGACACTGTGAGTTCAAGGTCATCCTGGTTTCTACAGTGAATTTCAGAACACCCAGGGCTACACAGAGAGAAAACTTGTCATGAAAAAAAACAAAACAGCGACAAAAAGATAAGAATGTTGGAATATGCTCCAAGGATATGTTAGAAATGGTTAACTGTGGAGAAGACAGCAGCTGATACAAAATAGAATTAGGTTACATTTTCAGAGTTGTATCAACTTTACATGAAACATGAAGAAATTTAAATCTTTTTGTTTTTGGCATTGGTATGTGTATGAAATAATCCACTTTATGCTTTATTTTTATGTTCATCAAAATTGGCCAAGTATGCGTATTTTCAAATTAAAAAAAAACGATGACAGAAAGCAGGGTCCCCTAGTCTTTGCCAAATCTTTATCCCTAGAGGAAATTATTTAAAATGGTTTGCCGTTTCTTTAGGTTCTTTTTTATTTTTGTGTAAGATGTGTGCACTAGGATCTGGGGCTAGAGCTTAGAGAGAGAGCATTTAAGTAGCACTCTTAACATCCTGGGGTCAACCACAGCCTTCCTCATTCCCTGTGGAAATGAAAGCCAGCATTTGTGTATTGTTGTCCATTGATAGAGTTGGTGTTTGAATTTATGTTCTATCTGTTATCTTTCGAGGAGAAGAACACTGGCCTTCTTCCTTTTCTCTAGAGACATTCAACCATCTTTGTATCACCGGTTGCTGCACCCACCGACAATATACAAAGACTGAAATTTTTGGTTAAGTAATAATTGTATGTTAGAATGATTAGAACTACAAAGATAGTTCATAACATCTTCCCTTCCATACATCCTTCTTTCTTTCCTTTTTCTCTTTCCCTCTCTTCCCGCAACATCCCTGTTTGTTGGGAAAAGAAAAATTGTGTTTAATATCATGCTTTAGTTTTTGTTTCTCTCTGATGTTTTGACACACCCCTAAGAGGATTTAGTTCACAATAGTCTAAGAGATTGACTTCTTTCATATAATACAAATCCTATGCCATTGGAACACTCACTGGGCCTCTCACCAATGTAGACATTCAGTTGTTTGGAATCACATCTTTCTGGCTTTAGTCTTATATTTTTCTGAATCATATCCTCTTTGACCATTCTGAGAAAAAATTCAAAGTCAACTTTGATTATTTATATAATCCCTATAATTGCATACATTATATATTTATATAATGCATATAATGAAGATACATTTTATTTATATATTGTCTTCATTAAAGTTTACAGTTACTGCCCGAATTCAAACACCAAATATATCAATGCAGAAGAGTACATAGGAGCTGGATTTTGTACTTGTAGGAAAAGAAAGAGGGTGTTATTGAATTAAGAACTTTATACAATACACACACACACACACACACACACACACACATATATATATATTTCTAAACATGTAAATACAGTCTACTTAGTTCATATTCAGCTACAGTTGTATATATTACTTCATAGCTGACCACTTGGCTCACCAATGGTATCCATTTGACTTCAAATAAGCACATTGACTTCTCTCTTCTCTAAATGCTTTTGGACCTGGATCCCGGTACATCCAGATGACCTTCCATCTAAGTTCTCTAGATTAGTCAGTCTTAAATCTTATTGGATTGTCACTGTCACATCTTAATCTCTCTCTTTCCAGGTAACTTTCAGTAATGATATGCCTATTTACTCAGATTTTCTGAGATGGAATATATAATGTAGAGGCAAAAAATAAATTAAATCTCATAATAATAAGTCTGTCAACATCCAAGCAATGATTGATGAGTAACACAAGAGGCTGTACCTCCCACTGCTGAACAATTTGCTACTGATAGGTTCAGAGAGAGTGGGACTCATTGCCAGCACTTGGGTACCCGCTGGGATCCCATCAACCTCCAGTGGAATTCAGTGCATGTAGATGGCACTTGTTAAATTAAGTAGTCACAAGACCAAATTGAAAGTCATGAATATTGGAAAGGAGGCAATAGAGATGAGAAGACAGGTCTTGAGACAGGAGAGAGATAAGAAAGGATAGAGGGAAGGAAGTAATCAGAATTTATCTTATGCATGCATGAAATTGTGAAAAAAAAAAACAAAATTAATATCATATGAAGCCAGATCAATCTCTATTACAGTAGCTAGTTTGTTGATTGAGGGGGTGGCACAGCAGGTATAAGCTTGTGGGATAAACTTGACAACAAGAGTCCAGTCTCTGGGAGACTTAGGAGAGAACCGACTCCAATAGATCTTCTCTGATTCCATATGCATTATAAGACATGTCCACTCCCCATCACAAGATAAAAAATACTTTTTCAAAACAAAAAAATGTAATTTCTAGTTTAGATGTTCCATTCTAGTCTTGTAGAATGTGAGTCGTACTTGCATTACAGACATGCTGCTTACAATGTAATCTTTGGACTGAATTAGGGCATCTCATAGGAAGGCCCTGGATGTTACAATCGGCATCTAAGGACACAATCTCCTAGTGATTTTCCTCAGCTGTTGTCTTCCTCAGCAGTCACTACCCTGATGTGATTTCCTTTCCGAGTAGGGAAAATTGGATCTCCTTCTTATTTCTCTTTCATTGTTTTGGCCTAATTGTACCCTCAGGCCTTCAATGCCAGAAGATGAGATTTTAATAGAGGAAATGACCCGTAAAAATAATATAAGAGTAGGGGACCTGGAGCATCCTGGGGTTTTATGAACTGATTCTCAGGGAGGCAATAGTGTAGCATGAGGCCGCTGAGCTTCAGGGCATATCTAGCAAAGGTGCCAATGAAAGGATTTTATAACACTATTAAATTGAATGCCTTTTCTGCACTGAAGGAAACATCTTGATTTTGTGGTGCTTAAAGCTTACATGTTCTTTAGATCCTATTTAATGTACTTATTTCAAACAAAAATGTCAACCTCTCAGATGCCCCTCTCAGGTCCACTGCAGTGACAGATCCGAAGGAGTTGCACGGGGGTTCATGCCTACATGACTCTAAGATAACTTCTCCCATGCACACTTCTTATCCTGTACTTGTCTTGCCTGTTTCACTCAAATGATAGTAATACAACTCCCAGTGATCCAGTAAGCCCTGTTCCATTTTTTATGCCTACAGGAATATCACAGTGAAGCAATCACAGACCATCAGTTTAAAAGGAATGCGCTTACCATAAGTTGAGTTCTTCAGTGATCTCAGTTCTGAAAATCTAAGTGGTCTTCTGACCACTGACTTAAACTCTCCCACTGACTTTCTGATTGGATGTCAACAGTTATATTTTCAATGCTTTCTGATTTACTTTTTCTATCCTTGGTTTGTCAACATTAGGATTATGCCTTCTGATCTCTTGAACCATTTCTATAAGGAAGGATTGTTTTTTCTGTGTGTTTTAGGATATTGAAATGCATCCACAGAATTGGTATTTAGATACCAAAAGCATGTGTCATGATTTGGATGAGAAATATCCTTTATAAGTTCAGGCATTGGGTCACTCTGTCCTCAGTTAATGGAGCAATCTGTGACAGCTTAAAAGGGGGAGCTTTCCTGAGGAAATATGTCATTTGGGGCAGACTTTGAGAATATGTACCCTAACCTTGCTTTCAGTTCTCTGCCTCTGCCTCTCTCTCTGTATCTTTCTGTCTCTCTCTATCTCTCTGTCTCCCTCTCTGTCTGTCTGTCTATGTGTTTCTGTCTCTCTGTCTCTGTCTCTGTTTCTAGTGCTCTCTCTCTATCTCTGTGTGTGTGTGCATGTGTGCATGTGTGCATGTGCCTATCTCTTTGTCACTGTCTCTCTGTTTCTCCTAGTCTCTCTGCTTCTTGCTTGCAGTAAACTGTGGTCTCTCAGCTTCCTGCTCTAGAGATCATATTTGCCTGCTGGCATGACTCATCACCATGATGGATTCTTATCCTTCTGAAACCATAAAACCAAATTACTTTTTCCTTCTATAAGCTGCTTCTGATCATTGTGTTTTATCACAAAAGAAAATTACCTCTAATAGTGTTCAAAAAATCCCCAATGACTTGATACTATAAGAAATGTCCCCAACCATTGTTAAAGTATTGCCCTAAGTCAGTCATCTAATAGGCCCTCTCATTAACATTGCTGCCACCACCCAAACCAACACATAGCTGAGTTGTAGATCTACCTGTTAAACAAAATCTAGTCTTCTTTTCTTTAGATCAAGCACTTTGGAAAATATACCTTAGAGCAATGGTTCTCAACCTTCCTCATGCTGTGTCATGTTGTTCCTCATGTTGTAGTGACCTCCAACCACAAAACTATTTTCATTTCTACTTCATAACTGTATTTTTGCTACTGTTATTAATTGTAATATAAATATATGATATGCAGGCATCTAGTAAGCAACCTCATGAATGGTTCATTCAACCCAAAATGTTGAGAACCACTGCCTTAGATTATATAATAACCACTAATCCCCTCAATCTTGTTACGTAGGTAACTATATTTATCTTCTCTCTACATCTCTGTCCATCCTCTGCCAAGA